GTGCCAGATCTGGCCGGCCAGGTCATTTTCTGTGGCCCGTGAAAGCAAATCATGTGTGTCAACGTGCTAAAATCTATATCGAAATGTCAAATTGTCACGTAGTACCTTGTAACAAGCTATTTTAATTGATTTGACTAATTTAAAAACTAGTAATCTATTAATTTGTTGTGTCTAAGTAATAATTTTGTTGTTTCACTGTCATAACGGCCGATTATTATTGCTTTAAAAGGACTCGCGGCACGACAACTCGGTGTTGGGTCATTGTCGTTGTTTCTTTGATGCTGTCATTCATGCTTGTTCCTGTCATGTTTTCGGTCATGTTTCTGTTATTGAGAGTTTTTAGCTTCTGCCACGGTTTTTGTTTGCTACTTTGGATTTGTTTTGTTCTTAGGACTTTGTTTTGGATTTAGTTTTCTGTGTTTTATCAATATACTTCTTCAAGTACACCCTGCTCCTCCCTCCTGCCTGCTTTTTGGGGTCCACCACCACCTTGCAACGTGACAACAAGGGTCGCGGAAGGTGTGGGAGCCTATCGCAGCCGTCTTCGGGCAGTAGGAGGGGGACACCCTGAACCGGTTGGCAGCGAATCACAGGCCACACGGAGACGAACAACCATCCACGCTCACACTCACACCTTGGGACAATGCTCAATGCTCAATCAGCCTGCCGTGCATGTTTTTGGAATGTGGGACGAAACCGGAGTACCCGGAGAAAACCCACGCGTCTCCGGCGAGAACATGCAAATTCCACAAATGTGTGTGTGGGTTTTTTTTTTTTTTTTTTGGTCGTAAATGTGCGTGAGGGTGATGACGCCTGACAAGCCGCACCTTATGTAAAAGTTGACCTCTGATGGCCCAAATATCGTTATGCAAAATGTGAAGCAGGCAATATCTCAAGTGACCTTTTCTGTCTGACTCGCATGCATTTCACACCTGCCTGGTGTGTAAATGACACCTGCTGTGCTGCCTGCCAGTAGCCCGCCGAACCCCTTGCTGGACTTTATGACACTTTTACATGTGTTAATTGTGTGTGCTCATTCAACACGTGTGCGTCTGGGCAAAACAATCAACAACTGCTTTTTTTTTTTTTTGTGTGTGTGCTCATTCAACACGTGTGCATCTGGCCAAAACAATCAACAACTGCTGTTTTTTTTTTTTTTTTTATGTCTTTGGTGGACAGTATTCAAATGTAAAATGACTTACGAAGGCTGATGAGAAGCGGATGAAATGTCTACTAGGGCAAAATGGGGATTAGTATTATTACGAGCCATTTGATTGCGAGCAAGATTGGCGAATGCTTTCCTTGTCGAATGTGCGGAAATGATGACTCACGCCAATCTCTCGTGACATCACCGCTACTGGACTGTTGCGCATAATTATCATGTTTTACATTCACTGTCAAGCACAATCAAAGCTACATTAGCGGAGAGTTAGCAAGAAGTCATGGGCCCAGACATGTTGGTGGACATGCGTGATGACGCAAATTCAGTCAAGTGATTGGCTTCAAAAGGAGATGACGCAAGCAAGCGGTAAAATGTCTGCGCCTCTTGTCGGTGGCTGAAATAAAACCTTTATTTTTTTTTCGTCGTGCAGACATGTTGGTGGACATGTGTGATGACGCAAATTCATAGTCAAGTGATTGGCTTCAAAAGGGGATGACGCGAGCAAGCAGTAAAATGTCTGCGCCTCTTGTCTGTGGCTGAAATAAAACCTTTATTTTTTTTTCGTCGTTTGGTTCGGCAAGGTTAGGAGATGCAACATACAACCATCACATACATACAGGTAACACCCATGCTTTATCATGTTGTGAGCTGAATTGTCGTAGAATTTGTGGACGTCATGCCTGAATTGCAAATTGTCCAAACTTCAGGGTTCATTAGGCCACGGCCAAAACAACAGATGTAACGGCCGGCGCCTTACAATAACAATATGGCCCCGTCGAGGGCTGTCGCGTCTCCAAGATGTTATACTCATAGGTGTATATATCTGCAGCATGTCTTTCCTTTTGGATGCTCCGGTGAAAACGTTTTCTTTCAGGTCGTACGATGGTATGTAGAAGTAAGCCGTGTCCTCAAATGACAAGGATGCTGATCGTGATTGATTGTGAGGATCAACGTTAAATCTTTTTCTGTCCTTTTTTTTTTCTTCCCACATTTATGCACCAGACAGGGGCTCATATTTGGATTCTCCGGTGGAGAAAAGGTGCCAAGTGCTTGTCAACAAGTGCTGACAATGATATGGAGGGGTGGGGGGGCGGTCAAGCTGCGAGCACAAAAGATGTGCTGAAGACAAGCAGAGCACAAAGATATGAAGAGGACGTCTTCTGATAGAGCACAGTACAGTGAACGTCATGACACCACGGGATGATTTATGTTCGTCACGCACGCCTCTACAACTCATTTGTTTAAACAGTTTGGCTGAACGCAACTATGAGGAACCATCAATACCGCTGCCATTTGTAATAGTGCCAAAAGAATATCCAGTAAACCCCGCTCCATCACAGGTTCAGAGTTCGCGATCCCGCTATTTTGCGGATTGACAGATCATAATTCATTTTTGGTCAATAAATAAATAAATATAAATGGGTGTCATTCAGGCGGCCCGGTAGTCCAGTGGTTAGCACGTTCACTTCACAGTGCGGAGGTACCGGGTTCAATTCCAGCTCCGGCCTCCCTGTGTGGAGTTTGCATGTTCTCCCCGGGCCTGCGTGGGTTTTCTCCGGGTACTCCCGTTTCCTCCCACATTCCAAAAACATGCATGGTAGGCTGATTGAACACTCTGGATTGTCCCTAGGTGTGAATGTGTGCGTGGATGGTTGTTCGTCTCTGTGTGCCCTGCGATTGGCTGGCAACCGATTGCGGGGGTCCCCCGCCTCCTGCCCGCAGTTAAAAATAATAAACGCCAGAAAACGTGTCGATAGAGTATTTAAACGAAGTTTTTCACGGATTTGACTCATTTTTATTTTTCTCTGACTTAGGGCGTGGTCTGGAACGTAGCCCCATGACGGAGGAGGCAGGGGTGGAGCTAAGTGGTGGCCACGGGGATCCATGGCCACCCCTTGTCACTCCCTGGCCACGCCCACAACAAGGGGAAGAGTTTGATATCTGTGACGTTTTTTTTTTGCCATTTTCACATGGATGAAGTATTCTTAGAGTCCTTGATATTCCACCACAGTTAATTTTGAGTTATTGCACTCAATTTCTTCTAATTGATTTAAAAGTTTAATAGAAGGGCGCTTGTAGATAAATTACATTCACATACACATTCACACCTCTGGGCAATTTAGAGCAAGGGTCCCCTAAGACCCCCATCCTGTTTTCAATGTTTCCCTGCTTCAACACACCAGATGCAAATGATCGGGATGGTAATCAGGCCTCTGCAAAGCTGGCTGATGAGCTCCTCATATGAATCGGGCGTGTTGGAGGAGGCAAATATCTAAAACGTGGAGGATAGGCACCCTTGATTTAGGGCACGCAAACTCCATACAGGAAAGCGTGTTAAAAATTCAAAGACCGAATCTCAGAAAAGGGAGAGACAAAATGCTATTGTTGTCAAATGTTTTTGTTATTCATATCACCTTTCTGCTGTTGGTTTGGGGTGTTTTCAATCATTGTATATATGTATAGAGGTGCATCCATTCAAGACAAAGTCTTGGTGAGACTTTACGGAATCAGAACCTCATGAACAGAACGTTTCATGACTTGGAATAAATATGAGATGTTCAGGCTGGTCCACCGGTATGACACACCGTGAAAGGAGTTTATCTGGCGTTGCCACGGCAATGAGAAATTCTCCTTATTACGAGCCATTGTGCCATCACAATGGTGTAAAAGTTGTTATTATAAGGTCAGATGAGTGCATAATGTCGCTTCACGCTGACATGTTATCACTCTGCTCTTTGTGCGTCGGATGAGTTGTTCATTCTGTCTGCTGTGCCGCTGAGGAGGCGTGAGATAAACGGTCAAGGCCCACACATCTTCCTCTGTGTGCAGACACATGCTGCTGCAAGTTGGTGGACTTCTTGAAAAATGAGGTCAACTGGAGACATTGTACGCGCTTGGCGTCAACAATGCTCAACAACTTAGATGAGATGATAACCCGAAGCAACAAAAGGCCTTAGTCGCTGTGGGAAAATGTCATGTGATAAAATGAGAGGTCATTTGAATATGGTGGGCAGTGGCTACTCCGTTCCATGATGCTGGTTCACTTCCAAGTTGGTCAAATTCCAAAACCGTCTTTCCCGAAGCAAAGAGATTAAACAGTATCTGGTGTCGTCAAAACAACGTCATAGATTTTTCCTTCTAGGTCTGCTGACTTATTACTCACACATCATGCAAAACATCAGAGATGGGTAAATGAATGCAGCGTCAACCTTGCAGTGTTGTAACACTAGAACCAAAAGACATATGAACACAAATGGTGCAGCAACAAGTGTAGACAGACCTACAATGCTCACGGTATTATATTCAATTGTGAAAAACTGGTGACGTTACTCGACCTGAATGGGGAAGTGGTATCCATATGTGTATATTAAACTGCCCCCTGGTGGCCAAACTGTGTAGAAGGCATCACACAATATATTTATCATGATGCTTGAACTATTCAATTCTTTACATTCTATATCGGTACGGTATTTAACTAATGTATGTTTTTGTAAACTAAAGGAGTGTAGCGTGCTATTATCTCTGCAGTATTTTGAAAAAAAAGTCTTTCTTTTCATGCTGGTGCTTTATTGAGGGCCTGTTACAGACAAATGTATTCATTTTCATGAAAGATGATTTAGATGATGGAACGACAGGTGAGACAAGGGTGGATATGTGGATAAAAGGATGGATGATAGACAGTTGATTGGGTACATTAGTGGGTGGATGGATGGGTGGACAGACAAATTTGGTGGTGACATCACACCAAAAAAAGCAAAAGAAAAAGACAATGAAAATTAGAACTTAAGTTCTTGTGGAGAAATGGATGGATGGATGGTTGACAAATGAGTGAGACAAGTGGGTGGATGGATGGATGAATGCTGGAGTGGGGATGATGGATGGAGGGATGAATGGACTGATCGATAAATTAAAATTACGACTGCTGTGGCGGAGTGAGGGAAAAATCCCTCAAAGATGAAGGAAAAGCAACGCACACAAAAAAAAAAAAAAAGCCGCCCTCGCCAATAAAAACTCCCTCAGATAGACTCTCCCGCAAACTTCTCGTAGCAAGTGCGAACAGGAGAGTGGCTGTAAATTCTTTTCTTCCATCTCCCCTTCCTGTAAAACGAGCGGCTTTCCCGATACGCGTGTCCATGTAGTGCCGGTATCTTGATGATGACTTCGCCCGTCATAAAAAAGATGAATGCATCGTTTTTCCCGATGGACGTCGTGATGAATAACTAACGTGGATTTTTTCCCCTTTTTTTTTTTTTGTAATCAATTAGTAGTGGAGCGGTGCAGGAGTCGATCCTTGAAGGCAGCCTCGTGATTGGCGCAGGCGTCCAGCTCGTGGCGTTCCCAGCTCCTATATAAAGCCGAGCGAACCGAAACTCGGACTGAGCATCGGTGCCGTCTTGCCTGACATGCGAGTCCAAAGCACAGTGAGGGAGTAGCGCAGCCTTGTAAAAGAGCAGCCTCACTCCTCGTTCATTTCTTTCCATTCAGCCCTCCTTCCTCTTTTCTTTCCTCTTCTTCTTATTTTGAATTACTCGCGGAGGCTCGGCCGTCTCTTTGCGATCACTTGTGACATCTTCGCCGGGGAGACGATGCCTCTGAGGACGGGACTTTTCCTCCTGATGCTGCTCAACGCATCTGCATACGAGCTGGATCAAAACGAGTCCTATCCGTCCAGGAGAGCACGCTTCTCGGCCAACAGCCCTTGTAAGTAGCACACACATGCTTGGGCATCTATTGTGCGTGTGTGTGTGTGTGTGTGTGTGTGTGTGTGTGTGTGTGTGTGTGTGCCAGCTTTCCTTGCTCGCTCACATGCACATTTCTTCTCTCGTTATGATCATTTTTGGCCTGTGCAGCCGTTTTGCAATGCAGTGAATTGTGCATTTTCTTTATTTATATTTTCTGTTTTTATTTTTTTACTTGGTTGCCGGTGTCCAGCCGGCAACAGATGAGCTTGAACCTGCTAGTGCTGCATAGCTTCCCCCCTTCTAATGTTGTGCATTCGTGAGTGTTAAACAATATAAAGCTGCACAATGATTCGATTTTTTAACAGGAAAATAAAAACAGACGGCTTAAGCATGAGATGCATTGTTCATGTGGGGATTTTGCAGTGCAGTGAATTGTGCATTTTCTTTATTTCTATTCTCTGTTTTTATTTTTGATTTTTTACTTGGTTGCCGGTGTCCAGCCGGCAACAGATGAGCTTGAACCTGCTAGTGCTGCATAGCTTCCCCCCTTCTAATGTTGTGCATTCGTGAGTGTTAAACAATATAAAGCTGCACAATGATTCGATTTTTTAACAGGAAAATAAAAACAGACGGCTTAAGCATGAGATGCATTGTTCATGTGGGGATTTTGCACTAATTGGTGGAACGTGGGTGGACAACCTGCGGCCCGTGGGGGCATTTAATCAGGCGAGCCGTGAAATTCTAAAAATCCAATCGAGCCTCAGAGGAAGCCACAAGTGCACATGGTGCACGATAATATACTTTTGTCGGATTCTGACAGCATATTTCGTGTGACCTTTCCAGGACTGCATGGGGGGGTAATAATATCAGGGGCCACAACAAGGGTCCACATCCTAGCCTATCTCAACTGACTTTGAGCGAGAGGCAGATTTCACTCTGGACCGGTCGCCAGTCAATCAAGGGGCACTAACAGACAACCATTCACACCAGTGCATGTTCTGCGTATGTGTGACTTGCAGAAAACTTCCACAAGCACAGAGAAAAATCCAAATAAAAATCCAAAGATGCTCACAGGAAGTTAGAGATTCAAACCCAGAACCTCGGAACTGTGAGGCAGACATCTTGGCGTCCAAAAGAGTAACGGCATAATCCCTTCAATGATTTGCGATATATCTGAGGTGGGCTAGGGCCCCTTTGTCACATTTTTTAACAGATGTATGAGGGTGATCGGCGACCCGTCCAGGGTCTACCTTCCCTCTCTCACCAAAATGTAACTTATTCCTCATCTTTAACAACCAATCCAAATAGTTTGCGATTCATATTCCCTTTGGGCAGTGAGAATAAAAACTATTCGTTTTCAAAACATGACACCTACAAATTGGTTGACATTCCACTTGGCAGTCAAAACAAACAGAGGAAGAAAGAAACTTTTTTTTTTTTTCTGAGAAATATACAGTTAAAAGGTTTGGAGACATTTTGTCCACTATATTTTTGGATGAGGTTGTTTGTATTATTATTATTTTTTTTTTTTGCAGATTTTTCAATATATGGAAAATTCATATGAAATATAGTGACGACAGTACAGTATATAGAGTCATCAGTATATAAAGTAATGTGTGCAGCAGCTTTAGCTCACATTTATTTGAATTATACAAATGTATAAAAGGTCAAAATATAAAAGCGCGCAACCAAACCGTTGAGCTGGCTTCTATGGTTATGGTTCTTACAAAGGATTTTTTTGCTTTCTCACTGTGCTCAACAAATTGGTCAAGTGGGAAGGTAATGTGTTAAGCATTTAACTCAACTTACTTAAGGGTCAAATTCGAGGCCCGGGGGCCAAATCTGGTCCGCCACATCATTTTACGTGTCCCGCAAGAGCAAATTGTGTGCATTGACTTCACGCTTCTTGCACAAACACCAAATCATCTTCACTTTTAAAACTGTTGAGATATCATAAGCACTTTTTGTTACTATTTGAACAAAACATTTTTACTGGGCTCCGAGTTCAAAACTTGCCGATCGATTTTGTTTCACAGTCATACGACCAGAAGTGGCCCGTGACAAAAATGACTTCGACACCCCTGCTCTAAATTGTCCATTGTTGCAAATGTGCATGAATGGTTGTTTGTCTAAATGTGCCCCCCGCGACTGGTCGGCGACCAGTCCAGGGTGTACCGCGCCCAAAGCCATTTAAATAGGCTGCAACTCACCTCCCGAGGCCGGAATGAGGACAAATGGGCGGATGGCTGACTGGATGATGTCTCTTATCTGTTTTCATGGCGTTGAGCGTGGCTGTGCTGTCATGGACGGGGAATTACTTCCATGTGTCGTGATCCATATTTGCTCGCACTATGGCGTGTGGCGACTCTCTGGTCAGGAATACTGAAGTGGTCGGAGTCCTAAAATGTGGCCTAACAATTACCACTTGGTGTAAAAATAATTGAAGACAGAGGCTGGTGGCAGGGCACCATGTGTGTGTGTGTGTGTGTGTGTGTGTGTGTGTGTGTGTGTGTGTGTGTGTGTGTGTGTGTGTGTGTGTGTGAGTTTATGCGTGTCGAAAGGCGCGCCAACAATTCTCAGGAAACTCTTTGGTATTTCTGGTGCCGTTGGTCCAAAAGCTCTGCTGAGAAATATCGGTCCCGCCAAGGGAAAAGCCAAGCGGCGCCAAAAAGTGTCGGAGCCTCTGGGAGCTGTAAGGTGTCCAATCTGCAGTTTTGCCCCTCGCGGCTGCACATCCTTTGTCAAGCGCCACAGCGTGATGGAATGAATATTCTCCCTTGTCGGCCGCATTTTTGTCGCCCGGAGCCTGGCAACTGTAGTGAGAGTGTGCAGTCGAGCTACTGTTGGCTTGCGCCGCTGATGGATCATCATCATCATCATCATCATCATCATCTCTGTGCCCACAGCAGATGTGGCGCGCTGTCTCAACGGTGCCCTCCAAGTTGGCTGCGGGGCCTTCGCCTGCCTGGAAAACTCAACGTGCGACACAGATGGCATGCATGACATCTGCAAGTCCTTCCTGTACAGTGCTGCTAAATTTGACACTCAGGTATACGCTTACACTCCCTCCGCCGACGCCTCCAGTCGCGGCCGCGCGACTCGGAAAATATACAGTGCGGCGCTGCATCGCGAAATCGTCACATAAAAAACAGAATCAAAGAGGATATAAAGCACAAAAATGGATTCATGAGTTGTAATTTAGTCAAAAGTCACACACACACACAATATTGTGTGTCATTTAGTCAAAAGACACACACACACACACACACACACACACACACACACACACACACACACACACACACGCACACACACACGCACACACACAATGCATCCCAGTGCTTCTCAACTTTTTACCACCTCAAAAATACTCGGCTCCACCAACTATAATGACCCGCATGAAAATACAGTAGAGCAGAGGCCCAAGTAGTCATCAAAAATGAGACAGAGGTTTCATTCCAAAAAAGCAGTGGCGACCTTCAGCGGGTATTTACAGGAGGTGACCTAATCCACCTCTTAATAACACCATCACGTCACAAAAGAATGTCCGACAACACTGTGCAGCTATGCGTGGCATGAAAAGAAAAGACGGAGACGTTTCATGGATTTGAGGATGAAAAAAAAAAAAGCACGACTGCAAAAGCATGACACCGTTTCCGCTATCTTCCAGTATCACCTCCGAATCTCTGCACTGCATTATAGCAGCTCAATATGAAATCCTCTCAGTGTAAGCTAACCGTTCCACTCACAAATTGCTCTCCAAGTGCCCCGCAAAAATCATTTTCCAGATTGAAACAAGCCAGCCACGGCAACAGTTTTGGTTGACCTCGCCTCCCTGCAGTTTCAAGTCACACTCATTCAGTCACAGATACTACAGTAATGTGGGAGATGAAGATGGCAGGCCCAAGTAGGAAAAAAAAATAAGTCAAAGTCTCTTCTTCTACAGGGTAAAGCATTTGTGAAAGAGAGCCTTAAGTGCATTGCCAATGGCGTCACCTCCAAGGTGTTCCCGACCATCCGTCGCTGCTCCACATTCCAAAGAATGATATCCGAAGTCCAAGAGGAGTGCTACAGCAAACTGGATATCTGCACGGTCGCCCGGACCAATCCAGACGCTATCGGCGAGGTGGCTCAGCT